GTCGATGTCATATCAACTTTATTGAAGATGAAACACTTATATGAAAGATCTCAAAATTGCACTACAGCTTTAATTAGTTGATTCTCAACATTCACTACAAAGAGGTGTGCTACATGTCCATGCCTCTACAAAATTCCTCTTGTCTTAATGGACTCATCTTCTTCCATATATCAAGCAAATCCTCTAAATTATTTTTTTTGAGGAGGATGGATGTTTCTTAAGACAAGGTGGAAGCATAGCTAATTGGTAAACAATCCCCTTCTTTTAGTTAAATCCTTTCTGATTGGACCTTTACTTCGTTGGGTGACTCACAATGAGCTAATACAGACAAGAGCAAACTAGTCATCCTGTGGAATCCATGAAGAACTTTTTGTTGGAGACCGTCTTTCAAGCAAATGTTTTTTATGTAACTTTATGATATGAGCATGAATCAATGCAAAAATGAATAAGAGAAAATGTTAGTATACCAAATAAGGAGAAATAAATAAATAACTAAATAAATTAAAACATCACACAAAATAAGAGAAATGAATCATATGCTTTTGGTCAATTTTAAAGGGAAAAAAATGGCTCTATCTATAGGTTAGGCATTTCTAATGTTCACTATATGTGGTTCAAGGTTAAAGTCTAAAGGTTCTCAAATTACTTTTTACATCGTTTTCTATTATAAATTAGTAAAGCACCTCAATCCTTACCCATTACAGGCTGCAAGCGAAAAAGATTCAATTTGAGTGGGAGTATTTCGTTAACCACTACAGAGGCATTAAAACCTTACGAAAGCATAAGTGCTTTACTCCCTCCTAGAGGGACGGAGTTCAGCTATAGAACTCATGTCATGCACATGCATATGAATGACATAATTATCAAACAAATAAACAAAATGAATGCATAAAAAATCTTTACAAAAAATTCAATTTTATTAGGCTTTTGGATAACACAAATTTATTTGCTGGCTTGACTCTCAGGCCATCCTAAGCAGAGTTGCCAAGCTATCATAACGTTTAGATCCGTAGACCTATCACTAGACATTGACTTAAAGAGTCACCACCAATCTTTTTTTTGTTTAGGTGCGATTGGTCACCTAACTGAATCTATCACTTTTAAAGAGGGATCCTAAGTTCGACTTAGGTATTTCTAAAAGGTAAACTCAATGTCCGTGAAATCAGAACTAGGTCCGGAAGTATGGTTACGTGTGAGAAAGGTTATAGCATCCTCACAACATCCATCGAAAGATGGTACAAGCTCAATTCTGTGTTATCTAATAAGCCTTAAAAATTTATCAAGTAATTAATTATTGAAAATTATTCTTAATTGACTCTAATACTTTTGACAAAAAATTAAGAAAATTCTCTCACCTCAAGAGTATACAAGAAAACTATTATTTCTCTTGTAAAGGCTCCGTCGTCGAATTATTTAATATTTAAAAATTATCCAAAGAAAGAAAAAGGAAAAACAAAAATGATTCGACTTTTGATATAAATCTTCTTTTTGTTGTTTTATAAGAAAAAAATTCATTGCTTTTATACAAGAAAAATTGATACTTTTAACTTTTCCTTAAAAATATTTTCTTGATAATTTTTATCTTTAAGAAAAACTGATAATTTCAACTTTTTCTCAAAATATTTTGTTTTTGAAATTTTAATTTCAAGAAAAATTGATACTTTTAACTTTTTCTTAAAATACCTTTTTTAAAAAAATTTTTGTTCTAAAAGAAAATTGATACTTTTAACTTTTTTCCAAAAATATTTTTTTTAAAAAAATTATTTTTAAAGAAAATTGATACTTTAAACTTTTTCCCAAAAATATTTTTTTTTGGAAATTTTTATTTTAGGAAAATCATTGACAAAAAAATAAAAATAAAAATAATTAACGAATACCAAATAATTCTAATTTAATCAATAAGCATAAATAATAATAATAATAATAATAATAAATAAATAAATAAATGAAAAAAAAAAACATTGACACAATTAAGCTCAGCGGTTGAAAGGGCTCGGTTTGAGGCACAAAAACAGCTAGAAGGCATCGTTCAGGCGGTTCAGCTTGGCTCGGTTGAAAGTTTGGTTAGAATGTAGGTAAACCAAAAGCGGGTTACGCCTAGGTTGGGTTGGACCAAATGGAAACGCGCGGATCCTGGGGTCCCTTAACGCCCAAAACGACATCGTTTTACAATAGTATAAAAGGCTAAATTTGACCTTTTTCACTAGATTGCTCATCCCCCTTCTCTCTTTTCCCCTTCTTTTCTTTCCCTCTCTCTCTAAGATTCAAGAACACCGGTTGAATCCGTCATCGGATTCTAAAATTTTTGCCAGAATCTGGGTAAGGTCACTGAAATCTTTGCCTGAAGTTCACTGATTTCTAGAAAATGGTTGCCAAAAACTTTGAATTTCGTCGAAAAGTCATCGAAAAATTGCTTGAAATCTAAAAATTTTTCAAAAATTTTTCAGAAAAAAATGCCAAAATTTTCAAAAAAAAATTTCCTAAGAATTCTAGAACTACCTCTGCTCTTCTAAACATTGTTTTTACTTCTATTTTCTCCCTGTTTCTTTTTGTGTCCTTCTACTTCTGATCAATAGGTATTTATAGGGATCAATTCACAGAGTTTTTGATTAATCTGGATTCCTTTTTTGATTAAGTTTCTAGATTATTAGACTAATCATTGAATCTATCCTATACTGGTTTAATCCAATTATGATTCTCTATTGGCCTTATTCACGGCAGAATTCATTCCCATTTTTATTATTTTTAATTATTCTGATTATTATTTTCTAACCGAAAATTAATCTAAAAAAGAAAAGAAAGAGGAAAAAGAAAAACAAATCAATAAATCAATAAATTACATAAAAAAATAATTAAGCTCAAATCTTTGGGTTTGACTGGCCCTATTGGATCAGGCCCAATTGATTCGAGTCTGAACCAAATTGAGTGTCTACAAATACAATTTTATCTTTTTCATTTAGTTTAAATTCATTAGATTATTTTACATTATGTTTATTTGCAAAACAATATCATATTTTCTAACTATGTTTTGATCATATTCTTTAAAAAAACCTGTTGCAATGTAACATGAGTTAAAATCTAGTATACAATCTATAACATCAATATAAAGCAAATTGGAATTGGGCTATCTAGTTAACACATCATAAATTATTTATTAGTCAAGTGACAATTTTTTATTTAAATTTCTTATTTTATTTTCTTTATTTTTGGCATTTTCAATACATGGCAAAAAAAGAAAATTAAAAAAAAAACAAAATGTTAAAGAAAAACGAGTCAAAAAAATATCATCCTTCTTTTTAGACTTTCCTCTCCACTTTAGCTTTTTTGACCAACCCCAAAATAGCATGAAATAGCATGAATTGATAGCACAATACCATCTAGAACTCCTTTACCATGACTTTTCCTTTGTCTACAACATTTTAGCCATTCAATGGCTTATTTGTGAACAAATACAAAGCAATCAACAAGCAACCTAGAATGTTAAATGCCAAAATAGTGGTTTAGGAAAGGGAATTAAAGGTTAAGGTTTTGTATTTTCTTTAGTGGGGTTCAAATTTAAAATTGAAAAAAGAAAGAATAAAAGCCACTACCAACACCAACAATGGCAGCATTAAGGAAAAGGACAAATTGAAAGTTTCAATTAGGTCTTTTGGATGAAAAAGAAGGTTTTCACTAGAAACAATTGATAGAAATAAAAAAGATAATGAATGGAAAAAAAACGATGGAGATAAAGGATTTTCCAATGATTACATGTAGCTTTCAATATCGATGGACAACGGAGACAAAATTAAGCCTATGAAATTAAAGATAGTGAGAAAATTTAAAATTAAAAAATTAATGAACCGAATTGAATGAATAAAATTTGATTTGAATCAGATTAAATAAAGTTTAATTTGAATTAAGATCAAATTTTAAAAATTTTATAATTTTATGTATTATTCAAAAAAATTGAATAAAATTCAATTTGAACCGTCATCACCTTTACTACTACTTTTTAGTCTTTAAAGAGGGGGAGTTACAAGATTGGATAAAAAAAGTAAGTAAAAAAGAGAAGATGTAAAAAAGAATAAAAAAGAAATACATATATATATATATATTATAGTGAGGGTTTAAATCTTTTGATTTGATAAAAATATCTTGTCAACAAATAAAGAAAAAAGAGAATATACCTAATACAACTCAAGTGTGACCCATATGAACCCAATAAGCAAATATTTTCTTATATTGTTTTGTTTTTTTTTTTAATGTGTTTAATTTTTTATATACGAGATTGTTTAAGAATGATAATGTTTAAATAACTTACAGGTTTGACAAATTAAAATAAAAAATATATTAATTATTATTTAAATATTTTCTTTTTTAATACGGACATTAATCATAGGATTCCACCCTAAAAAAACTATCAGGGCTTTACAAGCCCACATACTTAATGGATTCCATCACTCAATTCTAGTCCAAGCCCAAACTATTAGACATGGGCCAAAACCAACCCTGCCCAACAATTCCACCGCCCTCAAGATGCATAAAATTCCTCCAATCCCTAGTCGTCTCAATTTTCTTTCAATCTCTGAAAAATCCCCCAAAACACCTTAACTCTTGCTTCTTCTCTTTCTTTCCAATGACGACAATCACTCTCCGCAAGGGCAACACCCGGCTTCCCCCAGAGGTCAACCGGGTCCTCTATGTTCGAAACCTTCCATTCAATATTTCCAGCGAGGAGATGTACGATATCTTCGGAAAATACGGAGCCATTCGCCAGATACGCATTGGAACCAGCAAAGAAACGCGCGGCACGGCCTTTGTTGTCTACGAGGACATCTACGATGCCAAAACGGCTGTCGATCACCTGTCGGGTTTCAACGTTGCCAATAGGTATTTGATTGTGTTGTATTATCAGCAGGCTAAGATGAGCAAGAAGTTTGATCAGAAGAAGAAGGAAGAAGAAATCGCTAGAATGCAAGAAAAATATGGTGTTTCTACTAAAGATAAGTAAAATATATTATTTTAATGATTTGGAATTTTAGGGTTTTGCGTGAACATTTTAATTAATGACTTAACATAATCGTATATGTTGCTACTTAATGTTTGTTTAATAATTATATGTTGTTTTGTGTTGTGAGAAACAGATGATTTCTAATTTCTGAGTTACATGCCTTTTTAGTTTTGGCCATATTGAAAGTGGTGATGTTTGCTGAATTTTTGCTTATTGATAGGTTTTTTTTTTAAAGCTAATGATTTTATTTATCTAAAGAAGCAGGATTCTGCTGCATCATAACTGGTCTTACAATTTAGAAAAAAATTAAAGTTAGCTGAAACAAGTGTGAAGAAGTACACAATTTAAAGCACACAATAGTCGTACTTGGATCATTACTCTGTTTTCCTTTTCGGATTTTAGCTAGGTATACTGCGTCGCAAAATCCCTCAAGACCTTAGGATCCTAGGCCGCTTGAACCTAATCCCAGAGGGTGAGCATAATACTCCTTAATGACCCTTTAGGATTGTAGGCTCATCAAAAGCACATTTTTCTTGTACAAAGAAGACTTTAATCTGGGGAAAAGAGAAGAGGTTGCAGTTACTGGGATTTGAACCCTAGGCTTGTTGGATGCTACTTTTCAAGGATGGCTGTATGAACCAGCTGAGTAAATTTCAGGTTCACATCAAAAGCACATTGAAAATTAAATTAAGTACACTTGTAATCACACCTAATCTTGCTCAAAGGTATTTGTGGAGGCAATGAAGGTAGAGGAAAACTTGGAGATATTTTGGAAGGAAATTGAAGTCATGAAAGGATGCTATGTGCTTTCTCAAGTATGTTTTCGGCTCTGATTTGAAGAGGTAAGAAACCTTTTTAAATAAAGAATGGAGGTAGAGAGATGTTATAAGTGTATGATGGAATTGCTTTGTAACAGCATATTCCAAAAGCAAGATCTTTTAGGTCATAGGTGAGAACATTATTTATTATGGTGGTCCACTTGTCTTCTATAATTGTTTAGAAAGTTCAGGTATTCCTGGTTTTCTCTGTTTACACTTTCAAGTGGCTCAAGCTTTTGTTAAAATTACTCAAACCTGGCTTCCTTTTTGGCATATTGGAGGGAAGGAGTTCCTGGCTTAAGTTGGAAACAAGAACAGAGGAACAATCTAGTATTACTCAAACAAAAAGTAAAAGCTACACCCATCAAGGTAATGGTCTCAGGAGGCAAGCCAAGTCAAGTAATCTTTTATAAACTGTATTTCAGATATTTAATGTAAAAGATAGGAAATTTACTGACGATGTTAGAAGGAATTTTAGAGATTAAAGAAATACAAGAAAAAGATTTTTAGAAATGCTAATTACAGAAATATACTTCAAATTAGGAAAACCAAGTATAAAAGATGAATAGGGAACCATGTTAGCATCTCTCTAGATGTCCTGAGAAAGGAAAAAAAAAAACAACCAAGTACTCTGAAAAATAGAGTGAGAAACTGATGAATAGAAGAAAAAAGAAAGATGATCCTCTGTTAATTTAGAAATAAACAGAGTGGCAAATAGAAACCTAACACTTGTTTATAGCCCTCCTTGCTACTATTATATAGTTAAAACTAATGCCTAATCCTGATGAAGTGTTTGCCTTTGCCAAATATGATGTAGAACTATTGTAGAAAGACAAATGAACTAACAGAAAAACATAATCCTCTTATCTTATTTACAGAAATAATCAATAAAGTAAAAGCAATACATCCCTTTTCCTCTATTCTCTATATATGGATGATTTTTCCTTATTCAAATTAGAGCTGAATATAATATTTAGAGAGCATATAGCATCCTTCCAACTAAGCAGTTTTGCTTCCCGAAAATCTCCTACCTATCCTTCCTCGTCCTTTTCTAATATTGTAAAGCAATATTTGGGTGTGCTTAAATGTGATTGTACACCAAGTGGAGTGGTGCTTTCGCCTTTCACTATGCGCAAATATCTTAAACTTGAAGAACACCGGAATTATATATATGTTTGTGTGAGTGTGTGTGTGTGTGTGTGTGTGTGTGTGTGATGAGAGATTCACTTTAGTATAATTTTTACATTGTTTGGATTCTTTGATCAAAATTAAATCTGTGATTTATTTGAATCATTTTTACCATTTATATATATATATATATATATATATATTTTTGAATAATGCTTTTGAGAAGTTTCTATGTATGAATCAGAGGTAAATGCCCCTAAAATATGCGACTGGTTGATTGAAAATTTTAAATGTCTCGATGAGAAGGCCTTTTTATTTATCTACATTTTTTTTTTTTTGCAAGTGTCAAATTTTTAAAAATTGCACAATCGCATAAACAACTCATGCATGTTCCAATGGTTTATATATATATATATATATATATATATATATATGTTATATGATGATAGATTCAAATAAAATTGTCTCCATTCTAGAAAGGTTTCCGTTCTTTAATTGGATTTTTTGTTTTTGGGTAAAACTGCAAACAAAAAAAAGTAAGGCATTGCCAAAGCAAAGGTCCACATGCAGTGACAACAAGGGCTTAAACCCTCAAAGCTCAAGCCATGAAAATTACCAACAAGATGAAACCTGGAGAGAATCCCTCAATGAACTAAAGTGTAAAAGCATATTTTAATATGGACTTAATTTAATTTTAACTTCCATCCCAACCAAAGCCTGAAAGTACCAATGGTAAGCCGATACGCCCAAGGAATGCTAGTAGATTTAAGCAAAGCAAATTTTCATTATGCACCAAAAAATTAATGGCTACCATTTTATGATTTTCCTTGAAAAAAAAGTTTTGATTGGCTACCATTTGGCAACCAATTAGGGCCTTGATTGAGGCCTTCATTGAAAAAACTTATAGACGCGAGCGCGCATATATATATATATATATATATATAAATAAATAAATAAATAAAAGTTATCCTCATTTTACCATGATAGAACAGATAACTAATGTCTTCCAAAAAACAAAAAAAAATCATGGGTAATTGTGGAATAATTTGTCTCCCTCTTTTAACAAAAGCTCACGGTTGAAAGGTTCATAAATTAATGGGTTGGGTCTTGATCCACTTCTTGCTTTTCTTTTTTAATCTTTAGATCTTGCGATTGGCCTTTCTCTGCTTTAATTTTTCTCATTATAATTTTACATTAATTATAAAATTCCTTATTCAAAATGTATATAAAGTTTTTTTATTTTGTTAAATATTAATATTTTTTATCCAGTGCATTGTGTCACGGGTCGAGACTTAAGCTCCGAACCCGCGCGACTCCGGGACTCGGGCATCCACTCTTCCGACGTCTCGAATCAACTTAACTGTCACGGTTCACACTCTTGTGAGGTATTGTCCGCTTTGGCTCCCCTGGTCTCACGGTTTTATCCTACAAAAGGCGCCTCACAAGGCAGAGGTGATGTGAACCCTTTTATACTCCAATAACTCTCCTATTATGTTCGATGTAGGATTTAGGACTCCCTTTAGGTTCGTGACATTCTTCTGCACCCAACATCGTGATGCCTTCGTCACGGAGGCTGACCACTCTACCTACCTCCCTCGAGACGCTTGGTGTGGATCGAATGGTTTAGGGTTGGCTCTGATACCACTTGTCACAGGTCGAGACTTAAGCTCCGAATCCGCGTGGCTCCGGGACCCGGGCATCCATTCTTCCGGTGTCCCGAATCAGCCTAACCGTCACGGTTCACACACTTGTGAGGTATTGTCCGCTCTGGCCCCCCTAACCTCACGGTTTTATCCTACAAAAAATACCTCACAAGGCAGAGATGATGTGAACATTTTTATACCTCAATTACCCTCCTATTATGTTCGACGTGAGATTTAGGACTTCTCTTAATAACTTCCTATAGAACTTTAAAATTTTCAATTATGTTTTTTAATTAAGAGAAAAAACTTGAAAAATTAAAAGAGAAAAGACAACTTAAAATAAAAATATTAAACACAAATCTAAACATTTAATTTAATATTAGATGCATGTATTTTTTTACTCAAAAAAATTCAACATCTACTTATAGCCTACACAGCAAAATTTCATTTTACATTCCTACTTCTATTAGTTTATGTTCGCTTTATGGTAGGAACCTTCATTAACAGTTACTTGTTTCCCAATTTCTTTTTTTTTTATTTTTTATTTTTTTATTTTTTTGGTAATTAACAGTAATCCAATTTAGGCAGTCCTTTGACAGATTAATTAAAATATTCTTAATTACCATTGGTTTCTAACTGAAAATGGTTTAATTAGTTTTAACCAACCTGCTTGCACGGCTGGAATAACACACAATGTATCCAAATGATGCAGAGCAGCATCTAACCGAAAAACAATTCATAATTCCCACAACATACACATCTATTAATTAATTCTCATCTTAAACATTCCTGCTCCCACCATCTTCAATATTTTTTGCCACCATGGCCCACCCGACAGAGGTAACAAGCCTCAACATCAGTGTGTCATGCAATATTTTTGTTCATGTCGATATGTTGCTTTTGATTTTTGTTGGCTTTTTCCGTTTGCCTGGCTAACATTTTGAGTTTCTTTTCCGGTATATGAAATAATGATGTTTCATAGATTTCATTAGTCTAGAATTGTTCCAAGTTTTCTTGCTGATCACACCCATTTGATTTCCTTTCACCAAAAATCATGCTATGTTTATGATTAATGAGAGTCATAATTCATAATTAGTTTTGCAAAATCATGCTATGCTTAGAAAGAAATTTGAGAGAGTAAATTTAGATTTTATTTGCTATATAAATTGTGAGAACTAAATGCACGCACTAAATGCATAAACTATTTAAAATTCAGTGTGTTTATATTTGAAAGGTATAAAAAACATGCATTTCAAATTCACAAATACTTATAGGTATTTCAAACAAATCATTAGGTCGATCCAACCTAGGACATAGTGTTATTAATTGTTACATGTATGTCTAGTTAAACTGAGAAACAGAAGATAGTTTTGAGCTTGTAAATAAACATATAGTAAGTTATTGTTTCAAATTGACAGAACAACGCATGGATGTCTGTTCCTCAATTTGGAGGGTGGGATCAGAAAGGTCCAGGAGCTACGGACTATTCGATGGTCTTCTCGCGAGCTCGGGAAAACAGGAAGCAACAAAAGACTGATGCTAGGCGTAGCCTTGGAAATGAGCAGGAGTTCATTGCTGCTTCACTACCTCAGCAGCGACAAGAGGACGAAGATTCTATCACGGTAAGATTTCCATTTCACTAATTGATCCCTGCTTGGGTCTCCTAACTTGAGTGATTAGTAGTCCGTGAAACACCCACATTCTGCCGATGAGATTAATGGAGTTAGTAAGATTGGAATATTTCATTTGTAAAGCCTAGGTTTGAATCTCACTACGAACAGTCTTCCTGGCGATCTTAAATCTAATGCATGTAGACATGCGATCTGTTCTGACTCTCAACTAGAAAAATCTCCCCACCACTCTAAACTTCATGTTTGTTTCTGTGGCAAAAAAAAAAAAAAGAACACCCACTTTCTCATTTCTAATGTCGCCAATTCTATTACCATGCAGAAGAGAAAGAAGATCTTGACCTACATTAACTGCTGTATCAGGCCTTGACCCCAGCCATGCATTCTGCACATTTCCAGTCATTTGGCGTTGTAAACAGAATTAAACTTCTGGCATATTTAGATTTACAGGCGCTCTGCCGCTGGGGAACAAAGCTGAAGTTTCCAAGCTTTAAGCATGATTTGCCATGTAAATATCCTTCTTACTATGTATAATTTTCTTCTCCAAAACTGATTGTACTAGCATGATAATTATATCGACTTCCGAAGTTACCTATACCAATGTTAGTCTAGCTCTTTTCTCATGTTCTTATCAGTTTCCTTCGCTCAAGCACAATAGAGCATAATTTCAATTCAACTTCTGGATTTGAAGCGCTTTGGTGGACCTTTGGTGCTAACCTATCAGCGCATACAAAGAAGGGCGGTTCTAAACACACCCTTAATATTTTTCTCCACACCCCCCACATTTTTATTATACATTTAACCTTAAATAACGTTATTTAATACCCTTTAGTAAATTATATTTTTGTCTTCCATACACCTTCTTCATCATCTTCTCTTCTTCTTCTTCCACTTCCGTGCATTCTTCCATCAGAAACCCTAAATCTACTCTAATTTTTTTAAAAATATTAATATTTTTTTCTATATTGTCAAAATGAAAAATGAGCTTGAAAAAAACACATGCAACAATGAAGATTGCCGAACTGATGATTAGGTACGTCAATTTCTAAGTTTTCGAATTTGTATTTTTGAAAACTTTTAAAGATTTTTGAATATGCATTTCACGAAATTGTTGGAATATTCTCAATAATAATAGATCACATGAATTACATATGATAGTAAAAAGTTATATTTTATGTTTGAAAATTTGTGTATGCATAAATAAACACATATTTGAGCTATTATGTCTACAAATAAACATTTATTTGGATAGTCATGCCTATGCAAAAAGATGTCGATTTTATTATAAATAGATTTTGGATTTTGGAAAGTATAACAATTTTCAGATATAGCAATATTCAAATAAATATCAAATTACTTCCATAAAGTTTTGCCGCAGAAATTCTTTATAGAAAAACGATAGTCTTGTTATATGCTATAAATATTCAATGGATTGATTTCGTCAATACAAAGTGCAATCAATCATTAGGCTTTATTATATCTTCGAGATTTATCGCTTATAACTTTTTTACAAACAAATTAATCAAATGGTGAGAGCGAATAAAATTGGTATCGTTATACGCCTTGAAACATTTCCTTAATCTCTTATATTTTTTCACCCTAGGTTCTAATAATCTTAAGATTTTATTTTTGCAAATTTATAAAAAAATTTATTGAAAGCAATAATGGTAGACAAGGACAACATGTTCAGATTAAAACAAAAATTTATTCAGATTTGTTTTTAATTTATTCCAATGAATTCTTTTGGGATAATAAATCTTGGAATGATGTATGCCAATACAATAAAATCAAGAAGCAAAGAAATTGTTTAGTGTTGGTTGATTTTCGGTTAGTCTACAAGCAAGTCAATAAATTATTTTTCTTCTTTGATGAATCATATTTCATGTTTATCTTTTCTTACCATTTGAGCTGAACTTTAATTAATTAAAAATTCCAAGAGTTCTCCGAAATGGATACCAAATTATGGCAAGTCTCAATGTAAAAATTAACGTGACAAAAATTTCTTTTATATATATATATATATATATATATATATATAAGAAAGATATGGTGGAGACAATATGTCCATCTTCTATCATCCAGTTAATACATGACTGTTTTTAATGGCTATAAAGACATATTTCTTGTGCTCGAAAAAATAGTCATTTGCATGCTGCTAAGTCGAAAGTTTGTCACACCACCACCAAATGGTTAGAATGGAGATATTCGATTTTTTGTGACCCTTTTTCATTAGCAAACAAAGAATTATGTTTCAAATCTCATGACATCTAAAGTGGAGTTAAATACTTCATCTTGCTCAAAAGAGGTAAACATGAAAAGATCCTTTCCAAGGGTTACAATTATTGAAAGAAAAGTCAATTTAGTAAAAGCATCCCAAGTATCAATGCCAGCTTTCATATTTATGAATGATAAAGAAAGAAAGTAATTTCATGGAAAACATGAGTAAGATTTGCTAAAAATAAATAAAGTTTGTTTTAATGCAAACATAACTTCATATAATTGTAAAGATATGGCATTTATGTGTATAGAATTTAAAAGAAAAGTGTACTAGTTTCATGGCTTTCTATAGTTTCGTAACAAGGATGTGTAATGGTTATGCACTATGTGTAGGCTAGATAATGATATTGGCTTTTCAAAATAGTAAACGTTGGATTTGGCAATTCAATAAGTTATACATTGTGAACTTGCTATAAGTATTTGTTTGAATAGCATTATCTCACAAATTTGATTGTGAAAGGATTTGAAATTAGATTAAAATATTTATGGAGCTTAATTGCACATAGGTGTATCGATGCTATGAGTAAAGTTTGAATTTATTATATTCGTATTATTATTATGATCCATTTAGGTGGTGGACATGATTTTGAGAAAGGCATAAAATGATTAATAATGCCCATGATAAAGGAAGAATATATATATATATATATTATATATATATATATATTATTTTACAATCACTTAATATGCCTATTGGTTGTCTTCTAATTGACTATATTTTAAAAGGATATATGAAATATCCTTGTGCTTATATATAACTTTTTGACAAAAAGTCTTGTTATTTGATATATATAAATATATATATATATATATATACACACATATATATATATATACATATATATATATGTTCCACCAATGGATTTAAGGCCTCTTTACAACAATTTACTTGGTGAAAAAGATTATATGATGTATGGTTTAAAAATTGGTGGCAATGGCATTAATTTCTTGGGATATTAAGAAATATATAAAATTAACAAATGTGAAACTATCATGATAAGAATAAAGTCAAAGTGATCACTATGAACTAAAAAAATTTATGACAACTATAAAAAGAATATCCTTAATAGCTAAATTACTATGGAAAAAGCATTCTTTAAAAAATGTATATACATACATGGTGGGGGTGTTGGTCTTATAAATTTTCAAGATACAATTAATATAAAAGTTTCACCATGTGGTATAGAAAATTAACATAGCTATGTTAAAAACTTGATGATAAGTTCAAACATTTAATATAAAGTCATCTATAATGGAAACTTGACTCGGCACTTGGTATAACATTATGTCTTGAGTTCAATAAGCCAAAAGGTGAGATAAGAGGTAAGGAACATTTTGTATTTCCTCTTTTTTCATTCCTTTCTTTACAAGTAGGATTGATTGTGTTACCTTTTACTGTCCCAACAAAAAAAATCATGCTACTCGGGTCTTTTACTTTCTGGCTTCATCACTTGCAATAGGTACGTAGTCGTTTTGCGGTAACTTTTAGTTTAGGGCTTGAAACTATAAGCTCGAGTGATTTGTTTCATACCAAATTTCCCTTTTCTACTTGCAATAGAGTTGGCCTTCAGTTTCTATATAGATGATCATCTGTATGTGACTGCAATTCTATAATCTTATATTTTCATCCTAAGTGTTTGGTACCCGCAATGATTAGCAAAGGATGAATTTATACTCTTAATAAACCCATAACATAAATATATTAAAATGTTATAGTTACAAGAACACTTTTGATGGGAGCTATCTATGTGAGTGTAAAGTGTGGTTGCTTCTTAAGAGTTCAAGGGCTTAGCTCTAACAGCAATCATAAAAAGAAGATGTAAACACACATGGCCAAAATAGTGTCTATAGATATCAAGCATTCATTAGATGTTGAAATCATTGTGTAAGATGAGTTTGGTTAACCAAATGGAATAGCTAGTTTAAAACATAGTCTACCATGCAATTTCGGTTAACTTTAATTTATTTTTACTAAGTAAAGGTTCAAATCATAAGATACTTTTATTTTTGCAATTAATTTTAAAGATTATCATAAATCTAGATTATTGTGAAAATAGTGGGGGATTGTTGGAACATTTTCAATAATAATAGATCAAATGAATTACTTGTGATAATAAAAAGTTACATTCTTTTAATAAAACATGATTATTTGTTAAGAGTTGTGTTTGAAAAATTATGTATGTCTAAATAAACACATATTTGAAATATTATGTCTATACAAATAGACATCTATTTATGTTAAAATTTCCTTCCATTGTTTAAATAAATTTTAGTTTACTTCTATAAAGTTTTGTTGTAAAAATTTTTAACAAAAGAATGATAAACTTGCTATATGCCAGCGAATGCTCAATGGATTAATTTCATCAATGCAAAACATAGTTAATTATTAGGCTTCATTGTATTTTTTAGGTTTATCATCAGTAATTCTTTTGCACATGCCAATTAATCAAGTGGTGGGGACGAATAAAACTTTAAGAAACATAGCACCGTTACATACACTGAAACCTTTCCTTAATTTCTCATGTTTTTCCAAACCCCAGGTTCTAACAAAAACTTTTAAAAGTTTTTGAATTCCAGAAACCCTAATTCGAAAACTCTTAAAAGATTCGAATTTGCATTTTTGGAAACCTTTAAATTTTTTTGGATTTTCATTTTCAAAAACTTCTAAAAGTTTTAAGAGATGCATTTCTAAAAGCTTCTAAATGTTTTCATAAATGCATTTCTAAAAGCTTTTCTAAGTTTCTGGAAATGCATTCCAAAAGCTTTTTGAAACTTTCGAAAATACAAGTTTGGAAGCTATGAATTGCAACATCAGTTGACCATATTTTATGAAATTAAACAACATAATCAAACGAAATCAAAACAAAATATACAAAATTACCTCTTATTATAAGCTTTTTGACCTGATTTATTTTGTATCTTTGTGATTTTATGTTGATTTTGGTTTAAAGGAAGAGAGAATCGAAAGAGAGTGTTGCTGTTTATGGGTTTAAAAGAGAAGAGAATGGGTGTGAAAGAGGATGGCTATGAAGGCGTGTGGGTATGAGTAAGGTGTTCATAGAAAATGAGAGTTAAGGTGTAGGGTGTAGTGAGTAAAATATAAATTTTAGATTTAAATTATGGTGTTTTTAGAAATAAGGTTTAAAAAGTGTTTATAGGGTGTATTTAGAATTTACCTGAAAAAAAATATGACTAAAGGTGTAAATGAACAGAGTTTTCGATGAATTATTTATGAATATGTTTTATTTCTTTTCGTTTATATTCATTTATCAAGTTTAATAAACGATCTTGAATAATATTTTTATGTTCGTTTATTAAATGAACCAAATACGAACAGAGGTCTT